TGAACTTGGCCTGCATTTGGTAGAATCTACAGAAGTCCCAGAATCTCAGAATGTCACAGTGAGGGCCTTGGCGCCCCCTGCCTGAAGCCCATTTGGGGCATCCACTCTCCACTCTCTACAGGCGATCCTCCCCTCCCATAATCAGCCGGAACGGTGTCCTCTTCCAACCCCCAGTAAGTGGTGTTCTTAGGTATGATACGCCGGACTGCTGCTTGATCTGCTCAAGTCTGCCTTTGTTGATTTGTATCGTATATACAGTCCCAGGCAGGTGATGAGCACAGGAAAAAGAGCCACAATTTGTTATGGCCTATGCTTTAAGAGACCCTTAGCGCGAGGATGATGGCAATGTGTGTGTATCCATGTGCTGTCCACTTCCTCCCATTCACCTGAGACCAACTTAGTGTTCTCTTGAGGTTTTTTTTGCTTAATTTTATTAGTATATATTTGTCATACTTAATGATCACATTCATTATAATTTGTACCTGAACATATCTTAATTTTTTTCCCCTTTCCCCTTCATTCAACCCTTCTTCCCCTTCTCATTTACAAAGGCTGATTCCATTTTTCCCCCTCTAGTCTTTTTAACTCTTCCCTTCCCCTGCCCCTCCATTGTTCCCCTTCCCATTTAAAGTTCTCCTACTGCCCATTATCCATCTTCCATTATGGTCCACATTTACCTTTTGGGTTTTCTCACACAAGAGAAACAATACAATAAGAGTACTTTTTTCATACTGGAGATTAAACCCAGGACCTTCACTCTGAGGTACACCCCCAGCCACACTTTTTGAGATGAGGTTCCCAGCTGGCTGTGGCCAGGGCCTGTCTTCACTCATCTAGACCCTGCTGCCTGCTAGGCCCAACCCTTGCTCTAACTTTACTTCAGGCAGCTGAGCCACCTGTAGGTAGGATCAGGCTGATCAAGCAAAAATTATTCTGCTGGCTGTGATAAACCCTGCAGGGATCTAGTCCTCAGGCCACAAGGATGGAAACAGGGATTTGCTCCACCAAGGAAGACCCAAAGAATGTGACCAGCCAATCCCATCTCAGTACCCCAGAGTAGAGACCCGAAGGTTCTATCCCAGTACAATCCAGACTCATGGCACTGCCTCTACTGTCCCATGAGCTCACTACCAACCTAAGTTCTGGTGACAAGAGGCCAAGCCAAACACCTCTGTGGAAGAGGACAGTTTTTGGTTAGAAAGCACTAAGGACACACAATGATTTGTTCATTGTTGCAAAAATGAACTGAAACCTTTCACCTGAAGATAAGAGTGTATTTGAATTGCAGGAGATCCCTATTTTTTAGTCTTGCCATGCATTGTAAAAATGAATGGGAGCTGGGGGTTTAGCTCAGCGGCATAGCACCTGCCTGGCAAGCGCAAGGTCGTGAGTTTGATTCCCAGTACCGGGAAAAAAAAAAAGAATGGGAAGTTAGGACTGTGATTGTAGTGGATTGGTAACTGGTGGCTAACTTATAACCTGCAGTTGAACTGAATGAGCATGGTGCTGGGTGTGGAAGGCCCACCAGGGGATTGTTGCCAGCAGCAGAAGAGGCAGAATTGGAGAAGCATAATGCTTTAATTACTAAAACGTTTGGTATCCGCCCATTTGTACTAGCTACACCCTTGGTTCTTGCTCAACAAAAGGTGACTGAGATTGGTAATCGGGGCTGCAGTCCAAGAGGCTGTAAGCCCCGATCCCAGACTTTTGCCTCACTTGTTTTTCTTGTCTCTCTTACTTTTTCTGTTCATCCCAGGGCACCTCATTCTTGGGACCTGTCACCCTGGATAGAACGACACACCTACATCCTCCTTAGGTCAGAAAAGACAAGAATGCCCAGATGGATCAAATTCTCATCTTCTGAAGGCCAGAGAAAATCAAGACAGAAGCTGGGTAGAAAAATGTGAGAACAGAGGGGGGTGCTTCTTCCTCTCGCCCTGGATGAAGCCTCCTGTTGATGACGGAGAAGACTGTGTGTATGTCTCCCTTTCAGCTTTCCCAGAATGCTTAACACAGGGAGAGGGTGGGACACATGCCCACACGCACAAACAGCACACTCAGAATGGCCAGAGGCAGGTGCCCTTTAATGGGGTCCCCCAGAACAGCAGAATCCTCATCCAGGAGCCAGAGCACTGACAGCCAGAGTGACATGGAGGGTTTCTGCAGGAACAAGGTTCAGAAGATGGCACCGATGGGGGGCCGGGCGCCCAGCCACTCAGTTTCACTGATCCCTCTGCCACACCTTCTTGGCGGCAGCAAGCACAGACTAGGTGAGGTGTGGGGGAAGGAGTAAAGTCCAGAGGCAGGAGCCGGCAGCAGCACGGAAGGTGACTCAGGTGAGGCTGCAGAGAAGGAAGAGCATTGTCAGGAGCTGCTTCGCAGGGCACACCTCACCCCCAGCCCTGGACCTTTGTTCTAGCTAAGCCCTGAAGAGCCACACTCAGAGCCTGGCCCCATCCGGATGCTGTCTGACTGCATCCCACGTTACACAGTCT